TAGGAATGAACAGGCAAGCCCAGACGTCAGCCATTGCCCATGAGCTGCCACTCTCAGGTGTATGAACAGCAGCAGGTTTAAGCACACAGGTATTACAGACAGCTTTTAAAATTCTCAGCTAGACGCATATACATGAAAGTGTTTGGACAGTAAAGTATGGGCAAACAGCGGAGATTGATTGGGGAACATTAGCTAAAGCTTATAGACGCATAGCTGGGTAATGCCAGGATGACAGAATGGGAGAAAGAATGAACACACTGTTGACTTCATGCAGACAATCGGGAATGTGCCTGTTCCATCATGTTTTGTCAGTTAATGTATGCAAATTTTGAGCGTTTTACTTTTGTCTGGAGTGCCGTTACTTTTCCTTGTACATGTCTAATCCTGCAGCAGCTTTACATTCCTTTACCATAATCTCCCTGGCCCTTACCTTAACATAAAGGGTCAGTTCACACAGATTACAAAACACGTTTTCTCATTTACGCAGTAACACACTAGTTCGTAGCACATTACAGAGCTGAAATGATTGGAGGCAGTCGTTTCAGCGAGTGCCCCAAAATTACGTATGTTTACGCTCAAGTGCGGAGCCCTCTAGCGACTGTACTAATAGTGGCAGGAGCAAAAAAGGTAGTCAGGTGGTGTTGCGGTGGTGTTTGCGTAGAGAGCAGGTCAGCGTGGATGTACGGTGATCAAAAAGTCGGACCTTAACACCAAAATTGTTCCGAAAGGAGAAACTACGGTGGCCACGAAATTAACAAAAAAATCAGTTCTAGACTACAGTAGAATTATCGTGGTTCAACTTGAGTCTGTAGAAGAGCACAGGTGATTATACACTAATGGAAACATACCTGTGAATATTATATTCATTTTCTGCCAATAGATCCTCCTAAATGTTACACAGTAGACGCTAAACCCAAACCATGATCTTCTCTGAAATCTAACCAAGCCGTCTGTGTGCCCAATCTAACCATCAGTGTTTTGTCGCAGTTTCAGAAGGCATAGAACAATTATCAAGAAACACTTCCCTGTGTCATTGTAGAAGGTATGGATAAACAAAGTTTACTGTTTAATTTGGAAGTGTTGCAGCTGTTTGGAGCTTTTATCACACGGTCTTGTTTTGAAGTCATTTTTACTCATTGTCACACACACACACACACACACACACACACACACACACACACTCAAACACACACAGGTTGTGTTTCAGTGGGTGTAAGATGATGAGATGATCAAGTAGCTCTCATATTGTTATACCAGGGTTTCAGCTCATTGTCCTCATCTGTCTTTGTTCTCTATTATATGTGAGAATGTAGCCCTGTGTGTGTGAGATAGTCCTGGTACTTATATCTTTGTGAGGACAATTGTTAGACCTTACAAGTGAGGACAGTGTTGGGAAGTGAGGACATTTTCTCACGTTTTTTAAAGTTCTGTTTGAGGGTTTGAGTGTTCTTTTTAGGATTAAGTTTAGGTTTGGACACTAGGCGACATACTGTCCAAAGAGGGTCCTCATAAGTATAAAAGTTCATTGTGTGTACTCACGCAGCGTTACCTGTGCCTACACGCCCAAATGCACTCACGTGTCCCAGCTCCATGTGCTTTTATTTACCTCTATTGAGTCTTTAGCACCACATCACACATCCTCCGCTCCGAGGTTGAATGTTCTCCCTCGGGCGATGGCTTATAGCGTCTGTTTGCCAATATCATCCTTCACTTTTAACTCATGGGTGTGGACAGAGCGAATTGAGCGAGGATCAGCACACAGCTCTGCCCTGCTCAGGTAGAGGCTGGATTATATCTGAGAACAATGGATCTCAGGGCCAATAACAATCTGAGGCAGCCCTCTCTGATTGGATAATACCTGAGAAAGTATTCATGCCTCAACAAAAGGAGGATAATAGACCAAAATAATAAGGGTAACAGGATATACTAGACATATAATAAGTCTTCTTTTTTCATCATTTTGTCATTCTGTGCTGTTTTCTCCTAATTTTAAACCATATTTTTCTTTAATTACATTAAACTGCATCAAGTTACCGTCCTGTTCACTTATTTCCCTTTGTCGTTCTTTTTTGGACCGCCATTAAAGCTCCAAACCACTTTTTTTGCTTCTATTTTTAGCTTTTTCTTCTTTAGCATCTTTGCCAAAACTTTCATTTGAGCTGCTCTCTCTTTTTGGCCTCCCTCCATCTCTTTTACCCCCTTTCTATCGCTCTCTTTTTCCCTCTTTCTTGCTCCCTCCATTAGCCCAAATTTCCCTGTTTCCCTGCTCACTTTCTCCCTCTCTTGCCCTCCTTCTGTCATTGTGATTAGAGGAGTTGAGGAGATCAGAGGGAAGAAAGCAGGACCAGCACCACTGACCTTTCCCCTCCTTCTCTTTCTCTCTCACTCTCTCTCTCCTGTCTGTGCCAAGCTCGCTTTCACCTTGTTGTGTGTTTTCCTCTTTTTTTCTTCCTTCTGCACCACAGTTTTTGCCTGCAGCTTTTATGCTTGTCACTGATTCTGTTGCCTTGGCCAGGGGGTACTAGCTGTAGTAGTAGTAGTTGGCAGTAGTAATCTTTTGCCTCTGTTCTTCTGTTTATACTACTTACTGTGTGTTCACCAGTTTTCTTGCAATTGTCTTGTCTAATAATATTTATTAAAGAAATGTTCTTTTAAATGGAATTGGCTGGTAAAGAGGCTGATATTGGAGCTATTAGTAAAAAAAAAACTAATTTAATATTTCTTGTTGGGAAGGAGATGTTTTGATTTCAGAGTTGCTATTTCTGTCTGGAAGCTACAACAGGCTTTACACCTGCATCATCTTTTTTAATGAATGTAGATGCATGTAGAAAGGGGACATCTCCATTCTTAATCCCGTCTAAAAAGCTCTGATTGTTTCTCTATCTGGCAGAAACAGACAAAGTTAGACGTGTGTGTGCAGAGAAAGTCACTCTTTTGCTTTTAGTTTTGAAATATAAAGTTTTTTTGAATCAGATTTGTTCCTTTAAGATAAACCTGCATCATCACCCCAACTCCTCAGTTCCTCTCAGCTCTAAGGACCTTTTTATCGCTTTGTTTTAGTTTTATGGCCCACAAATTTCCTGTTTTTCAGTCTCATCGATCTCAATTCCATCAGCAGCAGGCAGCTGTAGCAACTAGCAAAAAGAGGGAATTTAGTGGAGCATCTAACGAGCCAGATAATTCCCTCTGGAGTTGGTTGGGACCAGATTATTAGATAGATTATTGCACTTAGATTCATCACCTGGCTGGAAAAACAACTCCAAATCAGTATTAATGTTGCTCTCTATCTGCTAGATGTGTAAATGGGAAATATTCTCTCTGTGAGGTCAGTGTTGTGTTTACAACTTGTTGCGCTGCCCCCAAAAGGTCAAAAAAATCTACTAATGCAGGTTTAAAGCTGGTGAAAGTTCAGCCTAAAAGGGTCACATGAGTCAATACAAATGATCCGAATATTTCTCTGACGTTTTCACATGGTTTACACACCCGTCTTTCCCAGGCTCTCATTATATTCGACTGAGACCCAGACTAGACCAGCTGACGGTTACTTACAGGGGTCCTTGACCTCGATTATTGTGGATATGAGTGCTCGCAGACTGTGGTCATATGAACTATTACTCCCTGCACCCTCTCTCACCTCCTCACACTTTCTCCTCATCAACCCCTGTCCTCTGAACCTCCATCACACCCTTTTGTCACCCGTCTCCTCCGTGTCTCTCCACCCCGCCAGCACCCTTTCATCCACTAATCACATTGAAATGCCAGCCATGACCTTTGAGTTTGACCCCAAAGAGACCCCCAAACCACAGATATTTTCTGCTATGTTCACAAGCGTCATTATTAATTATCTATCCAATATTTATACAAAATTTAGATTCACGCACAGTATTTAACAGGTAGAAACAAATAAAAACATACACATATGTTTCTGCTCACCATGTGGTCTGTCACCTCCAACCCAGAGAGCCAACAAGAGAATAGATGGCATTTGGTGTTTTGAAGTTTTAAGAGCCTCACATATGAGCTTATGCCACTCATACGTCAGCTTATAAATGCTCTTTCTGTGCTGCTTATAAACTCTAAAAGCACTGCGTGATGTTTGGTAGATATCTCAGGAATGCCACCCTGGGCACAAAAAGGTTAATCTGTAGTTCACTTGGAGTGTATGAGCTACAAATGGTGTATGGTTTGTTTATTGTGCATAAGATAGGGTGTATGAAGGGCAACAAAGGAAGAGAACTGCAGATTTCAATGAAGTTTATTCAAACCAAATGCTTTTTCTGTCACTCCTGGTTGCTGAGAAAACAAACCTCCCACAGGTCACAGTAACATTATGAAAGGATTCATGTCCTGAAGGGCTTCCCCAGGACTGCTGCTGGTATCACTGGCTCTATTCTTTGCATAGGTTTGTCTCTGGTTGTAGTTAAAGCTGCTTTGTGTGTCTGTTGCGAAATAACAAGCCAAAAAAAAGAGCTGGAGGGAACGATCTGTGGTTGCACACTGACTCATCTGTCCCCTGTTAGAAAACCTAGAAAAGAATGGCATAAGGAGATAAAAATAAAGGCTGTAAACACAGTGTTAGTACAGCACAGAAAGGAACCTGATAGTACATGTTATGTCTACATAATTAGATGTCCCCTTTTAAAGGAATCATGCTCGGTATCAGCACTGACTGGATCTGATCCTTTCCTAAATCCTCCTTAAATCCCTTTGCCTCTTTTAAATGGCTGTAAACCTGCCAACTTCTCACTGATGCAACTGTTAGTCCTCTTACCGTAGTTTTCTGTCTTTTGTTTTTGTTTTATTCCTGAAGGAATTTGAACTTCCTCTTTTGCAGCTATACTTCAGGCTCATACAGCTACATGCTGCTGTTGCATTTAGGTGGTTAAGTGTGACATGAAACGGGGATTCGAAGGCCAAAAAGTCCGGGCTTGAACAACAATATCACAAATGCATTCCTAAAGCATTGTTTGTAATATCTGTGTCTCTTTTTATGTCTGCAGGGTACCAAGTTTGACGAGCCGTGTGCAGGCCTGGACTGTAGCGGAGGATGCAAGTGCAACCCAGAGAAAGGCAGCAGGGTGAGTCATGTCTCGTCTGCATGATGCCGTCGTGGCTCCACTTCCGTTTCTAACAGCTCAAAAAGAGCCCCCAGAACATCATCAGTTGAGGTTTTCTTCATCAGAATTCAGACCTACAAGACACAAAGGGTTTTGAACTGTGTTAATTAGTTAAAGCTTCTCCCCTTTTTGTCACTATTTTAGCCCCTGTTCCACAAAGACACAGAGAGGTGTTACATTTTCTCTCAGGAATAATGACACTTAAATACTTACATGTGTAGATGTTGGTGCCTTGTACTTAAATGTCTGCTGTTATCTTACAATGACTGAAGGGCAGATTTTCAGTTGACAACACTTTGGTCAAACACTCTTAAAGCTTTGCAGCCAATTTTAGAAAAAGAAATAAATATATAAGCATAAAGAAATATCAATCTATCCTCTTTTAATAATATTTTAATTATTCATCATTGCAGATTAAGCGGTTGGCTGTGAGGTGAGCAGACTAAACAGGGTTCATTTTGTTATTAGGCAACAAGTCCAAACAGTGTTTAGCTTGTGAGGAGTGCATTTATTTCTGTAAAAAAAAAAAAAAGAAACAGCTTTGGGAACTTCATTTCCGGAAACAAGTAAATTACCATCACTTTATATAGAAACAATTACCTCAGGGCTCCCATTTTAATTGCTATCTCCTTCCATCATACACACATTAACACCCACAGACATTATCACAATTTGACGTATATCAAAGCGAGCTCTGTGTCAGTTTGTGTTATACTTGTTTCAGCAGTCCTTATCTTTAGACTGAATTGTGTTTTCTCCAGGCAACGAATCAGACGCCCGCAAAAACAAAACTGTGTCTTTAGGCGAGGAACTCATTTTCTTGTCATTGCTAAATTAACATCAATCTGTCACCAATGACATCCAAACAGGTGTTGACAGAGTGAAATGTGATTTGCTCATCGATGAATGACTCCACACTCTTATATGGCATTAAACTTACATCAGTAGATACAGATATATTATACACATGCCTTCCACCTGTCGGCTGTTTACAGAGCTGCTCCACTCTCTGATTTATGACTGCGAGTGACAGTTAAGGGGAAAGTTTTGTGGGTGTTTTATATGTCAGTATAAACCGGCTGGCTTCATAGAAATTCCTATACATTAACAAGCCTCTATAAATGCTTCAGCATCATCAGGTCACTGGGGTGAAGGCTGTAAATAAGTAGAAGGGTTTCTCTATGTGTTATGAACAGAAAGAACTTGAGACACAGGTGCTCTGACACCTAAACACATTAAAAAACTGCTGATTTTGGAAAAAAATGTGAATATAGGGGACTTTGCCAGAGTGGAACAAAAGTGATGGCGCAGATTAGAACATGAAGAAATAGCAGAAATCTACCCATAAATGAATAAAGGCAGAACGTGACTTTCACCAATCAGAAGGTTAGATGAGCCTCTATGTGGCCTGAGAGACACAAAGTTTAGTATTTCTGTTGAGTGCAACAAGTGTATTAATTAAAGGTGTACTGTATTAACATTTTTATAGGACATTTTTACTTGGGATGGATGGGATCTTGTTTTTTTCCCCTCAACTTTTAGAGTTTAATTTCCCCTGGGTTTTGTGCTTCATGCTACGTACAGACTGCCTGATCCTCTGATTGGCAGCTTGTGACTGGAAAAAATACTCAAACCTCCTTTGCAAGTTTTTTGGGGTAAGAATAATGAAATCTGTGTGTTTTTTACAACCACTAAAATCCTAAAAATAGATTCTAGACCACTGAACATCCACCAATATCAGATAAGGCAGAACAGACCAGTGTTCTTTTAAGCGATGATGAATAGGATTTTGAAAACTGAGGGGGGACAGGTCCTCCCCGTCCCCAGTGGAAATGACACCCTTTAATGCAGTCATTTTTAGTTGAAAGGTGGTCTTTTATAACGGAAACCTTACTGTACCTGTCGCCACGTTTTACCTTCTGCATGAAACACAATGTGCAGGCGGTTTTTGTTGTCCTTGGGTTACCTCTTGATGAAGTTTTTAGCGCTGCTTATGCTAACTCATCTTCTCGGGGGAAAAAAAACCTGTGAAAAAAAAAAAAACACCTGACACCTCTGTGTGTGTTCACCTCTGGCTAAAAACCAGACTAACAGTAAGCTTCACACTGTAGCTCGGTCTCTTTCAGCCTGTATCCAAACAACAATTACTGTCTGACACAGAAGCCTGCACTTACCGCCTGCCTACTGTACGCCAGTTTAGGTAAATAACATAGTGACGACCTCCACATTACACCCAAGTACCTGTAGGTAAATAATATAGCTCTGTACAGGCCTTCTGCTAGGCCTAAATGACACAGCCGCAGCCGTATTGACCTTCTTTACCTGTTATTGTTGGGAGACGTTTAAGTGGTAAGGTGCTTATTTGTCTCTTTTCAGTTTTACTTTTGTACTTACAGGTCGGAGAGGTGAAGTGTGTTCTCAATCATAGCTGTTAACAGGCCTGAGGTTCACAGGTGGAAAGTAGTTTAGGTCTCTTGTTTGTGCACGGAAGCATGCAGGGCTTGATCCTGGATGGTTTCCCTTCAACACTGGAGGTCTATGGTGTGTTATAGAGAGAGAGAAACAGTCGCAAACTAGATCCTGTGTAAATCTACGTTAAAAAGGGCTGGTAATTTTACAAGAAAGTGAGAATGCGTGGTAGATTGGTGGCACTCTGTGGGATTATTCAAATTTAGTGAAAGTGAATCAGAGCTCAATAATTATAATTTTTCCCCAACTAACCATTATATTGATTATCAATTAATCTGCCAAGTGTGATTATGATTAACTGATGAATTCTTTGTCTGAAATATGTCAGAAAATTGAAAAGAAAACATACTAAAAGCATAAAACCCTTAAAACAATGATATAAAACAGAGAAAAACAGAAAATACTTGAAGTTATAAAAAGAAAATGCTTAATAAAATTACTTAAATGATTTACTGAGTCTCAAAATCTTTTGTCAGTCACTTACTTCACTAGTTCCCAGCCTGGGTTTCATGATGGACTTGATTAATAGGATATAGAATAGAAGGAAAAAAACATATTTCTGCCACACAATCTTAAATTCATTATACTGCAAGTAGCTGCAGGTCTTGAAAGAAATTGAAAATAATTGACTTCAGTTTCCTCAAAAAGGTTTTGGAATGGATTAAGTAAGTCCTCAAAAAGGTTTTGGAATGGATTAAGTAAGTAAGATTAAGTATTTTTTTATGTTAGTCATAGAATGTTTTTTCAAGCGATTGCAGGCTGTTTTAAAAAGACTTAAATTTAACTTGGTTCATCTCATCTTCACTTTTTTGTAAAATATTGGATCATTTCACCTTTAAAACATATTCAAATGAAACAGTCTGATATATTAAGAGGGGGAAATCACTCTTTGGTGGACACATGCAAGGAGACACTGCTTCATTTTATGAGCCAAAAAACGGTTGGGAGCTAATGACCTAATCAATTAGCTATCTTTTTAAAACATTTTCCTTTCATTTCAAAGTGAGTGAAAGTTTGGCTACCCTGCATCTGCAGCTTTGCTCCCTTTAAAACTGCTATAACGTGTAATTTGCAGTCTATGCACACACAGACCCCATATTATGGCATCACTGCAGCTCCACTTGAGATAAAAGATAGAAAGATATCAGAAGAGACATTCCTTTAGTGAGCATAATATTCTCCTGTAATTGTCCCTTGGTATGTTTAGTTTGTTTTGGACCAGAACCAATCAGTTGTCTCGGTTTCTACCTGTACGTGTTAATCATCAAAGTTTCATGTGGGCTTAAGTTATGTTTGTTATATAATGCTGGAGTTGTACCTGCAAGAAACTCTGGCACTGTTTGCTAAAAAAAAAAAGAAGCAATGATATGAATCAAATACAGCTGACAGAGTGTCACTGACAGAGTGTAAATGCTAAATTCAGTCAGTTGATTCCTGAGGGGGAACTTTTTGTCTGAAACTGGAGTTTATCAAAAGTTCAGGTCATAATGCAATCAATCATGGGATTTGATAGCCAATGAAAGTATTTAAATTACAGTATCTGTACAGATAGTTTGCTCAAGAAGAGGTAAAACTCAGAAGAAACCTAATTTATACTCAATTCGTATTTGATTTGAGGGGAAAGTCGCACAAAACGTTTGCTGTCTAGCTAGATTGTGTTAATTAAGCAAGCTAACGTGTTAAACTCCATTTGTGAGCAAATGCTGTCCTGTATTGTCAATAAAACGTCCTGGAAAGGCCCTGGGAAAGGATTTCTTAAAGAGTGGGAAGCCCGATATCGAACACATGTACTTGGGGTTGTGTGCCGGACTATTTAACCAGCTTCTGGCTGTAGCTGTATTTTTTTTTTCTCCAAAGAATTGATTTATTACTTTACAAGGCCAACAACAACAACAACCCTATTATTCATCACATCACTCACAAATTCATTCGATGTGCAGATTGTCTCTGGAAACACCTTGAACCTTTCAACAACAATAAATAAAACTTCACCTTTCAATGTTACTAGTGCTGTTTACTCTGCACAGATGTGTTGGCTCATATTTACCACCATATGTGCCAATAGCTCTTTAGGGCATTGCACAGAACCTTGTTGTTGCTTAGAGAGGAAAAGGACAGTACTGACTTGTCAGAACATAAAAATATGAACTGGAGCCAATAAATGTGGCATTAAAAAAAACATCTGGTAATAACAAACACACCTCTTGTTAACTTTATGTGCTTCAAACAGATAAAGAGGGTTTTAGTGACTGTATTCGATAGATAGAAAGATTGACATGTCTCTTAAAACTTGCTAATGCCTGAGTAAGGCTTCCCCTGGGTGATGTAACGTCCGACCCCAACAGAAACAGAGACACAATCCAGACGGCGTGTGTTGGTTTTAGTTGGCTTGCATTATTAATAGCCAAAGGGCTTCAGTTTTACTTAAAGTCCTGAGACTCTGAGAAAATACAGAGCACGAGTGTTTAAAAACTTGTGTTCACATGTTTGAC